TTTGATTTGATTTAGCTAAGCCATAATATTTTCTTTTCATAATGTCATAATCTTCCTTCGGTTGCGGCTCGGAATCATTCGATTTTAGGTGTTTAAATAACTTGGTTGAAGTGGATAGTACTTGCATTTTAAAACGTTAATCGTAGTAGTTCCCTGAAAATTAGTAAAATATATGTGTCACTTTTTCATAATTAATAGGTACTGTAATTCAGTATACCTGCTTTCTATACTGAAAGTATAACATCGTTACAGGCCGATCTGTTGAACATACCGATATTGACTCTTAATATCAGCTGACAGGGCACACTTTCGAGTCACGATGACTTGCATGACCTTGGCAGCGAGCGAGATCGTGTATTTATAACAGCAGGGTGACAGGAGAGGGGGCAATCTAGGGGTGTCACTGTTGTTATAGAGGACATATCAGCACTAACAAATATCGTCCACATCATGTATTTAGTTAAATCGATGTCATCTATAGTCTAGTATGAGTTTTATTGATGTTTTTATTCGCGTTCGATCGTGAACGCATTAAGATTTTAATTTCAAATCTCCATAGGTACAAGTTCTTTTAACCCGCTCACTGTAATACTAACACCCAGATCATTGAAATCTTTATGAACATATACTATAGCAATAGTAATAGTGCCCTAAAACTAATTGGAGCATTTAAAGGTATAGTACTCTTTAAAATAAAAAAGCGAAGAATAACTTAAAAATTACGAAGATGGTTAACAAATTCAATAAATACCTTTCTTAAAGACTGCGCTGACGTATTAGTTTGATGAATTGTTTTTTACTTGCCTGGCCAAAAAGGGAGTGTATTATGTTTAGGGTTATGTATGTGTATATTGTGTTTATGTACATTATGTAAGTATAATAAAATAAAATTCTTGTGCAGCAATGAGGGTTTTGCATATATTTTGCATTTCTTCCCTTAGTGCTGTTTTCTGGCTAAGAGAGTCGCTTTCTCTTCTCCTCTTCATTCTAGCAGTAAAACTAGGCGGCGTTATGAGAAGAAAGTCCTGTCGTTGCAGTCCTACTCGGTCCATATCAGTGTCTGACAGCGATTTATTAATATTATTGTTTATCTTCTCAGTCATCTTAACGCAGTTAATAAAAAATGGTAACACAGTGCTCAAAGTTGACGGTATTAGAAAAAAAAAAAACAATACCTCTCTTAACTTATGCGGTTCCGATATAAACGATAAGTCGCACGTACTCAACCAATCGAGATACCAGGTATCGATATATCAATCGAGATACCAGGCGAGCACGGTTTTCTGGGGGATTGATGTTCTGTTCCCACTCGCACACAGCTATCAGAAGGTGGAGTGAACTCCGCTTTTATGACCAACTTCACTTTAGATTTATATCAGTAGTGGATTTGATTTCGTGGTCTCTTTTCAACTTACGCCGCACATGCATTCGTCGTTGCAAATGTGAATATAGCCGTGGTCTTAGTTTGTTGCAACAATGTATGTGCTTTAACAAAAGTGCGAAAGTGACATCAATAGTAGCACATACCTATGTGGGCAAAGATGGAAGTCCCACGATGACAGTAGTGGTCAGCAACCGAAAGTAAGGATTACCACCTCCACCTTATGTCGTCCTATTTTCCTTCCGTTCTTTTACCTATAATTTTATTTCTTGTGATTTGGATTTATATTTTATATTTCGCTCTCAATAAAAAAGACGTCTAGTACACGTAAATACAAAAAGAGAAAAGGATGTATAGTATGTATGTGAGTTTCTTTATTCCACCATAACTTTTGAAAGATTATTATATTTTCTATAAATATTCAATATGGCCGATGTATGACGCCTTTTAAAAATATGTTTTTTTTTATTATTATTATAGGTATTTAAGTGTTCCAGCCTCCGCATGACCTACTTTGAGTTAATCCCTCGAGTTTTACTCAATTACAGTGTGATTATACCCTCATATTCCTAACTAATCGTGACAATGCGGGTAGTTGCACTCGCCCGTTGACAACACCATAGCCGACGTGGCGGCCATATTGTTCCTCAGTACGTCTTAAGTTTTCGAAGTGAGCAATGTGTGTGTTAAAAGTTTTTTTAATGTTTGTTATTCCACGAAAATACTTAATGTATATAAAATAATAGTTGTTTAATTTCCATTCTTTTCAGATCAGTATACCTGCATTTATTTAAGAGATTGTCTTGGTTAGCAATATAATCTGAGAAATGAAAATATAACTCTCAGTACCCGGTATTTCATTATTCAACTTTTGCCTCACGATATTTTATGCTATTACTGGCTACCACTAATAGGTATCTGGCCATCCTTTTTATTATAATCTAGTCCCCCACATTATGCGGATGGCATTCCGACTAAACCTCCTCCGATGCACTATCACTTTTGGAGAAAGGGAGTGGAATCCAGCAGGGACAGCTCCACACTCAGATCCCGATGTTTGGACCCCTTGGAATATGTAGTAGCCCTACTACCTACTACTAAGGCCATCCTTAGGGTAAATCCACCACTGTCAACATCTGCGTAAAGTCAAAATTCCACTATTTTCAGTACAGTAGTTTACCAGATGACATGAAATATTTGTATATGAATGAATTTAAATTAAAATTGTCAAAGTGGCTTATAGAACATAGCTTCTATAGTGTGAAGGAATTTTTGGCTTTTAAGAAAATTGCATGATTAGAATATTTGCACGCCTGTTCTCGGGTAGACTACTGTATCTCATTATTTAATTTTGTGACCTTTTAACTGTATTCTAGCAAATAAAGATCTTATCTTATCCAAGAAACATTTAAAATTTGCTTAGACTTGCCCCGCCTATGATTACAACATTTGTATAAGAATGAAAAAAACGCAAAGGTAAAATATGTAATTACCTCCATTATATTATGGTATTGCCGAGCCTCAAGCAACACTTTCATATTCTATTATTTATAAATAATAAAAAATGCAGCTATTTTCAGTCAACAGAATACCAAATTATCTAAAACTCAGTCTCAACAAATATAATTTTAATCTTGATAATCAACATGAAACTGAAATTTGCTATTTTTTGATTGCCAATTTACCTGGTAATGTTGTAATAAAGATTCTCATTTTCGTTAACCTGAAGTGCTGTACGTACTAAAAGCTAAATATAAAGTCCAAGATCGATACCGAGGACCAATCATCTCATCACTCTCCTCGTCAATGTAAGGCTATGATCTTAAAATTAAAACTAGGATACCTGCCTGGCCTTACATGTAATACTTTATCCTTTATGGGGTTAAAATATTTAATTTTAAAGTCAAATCGGCTATTGCATATGTTTTATTTTAGTAAGTGACAAATTTCCAACAAAAATACGTAAGTTCCTGCCTGATTTAAAAAGGGTAATTTTTATAATTTCCTTTTTTATCATTCAAATAAAAAAAAATAAAACTAATTACCATAGTACAGACATGTCCATATGCTCTTTTCCTTCTCTCATAAAAAAAAATTGGAGTTTCATACATAATCCAATTATTTTCAAATAAATTAACTGCTTCCACAATAAGCCTCCAATATGGCTGAAACTTTGCGTCATCTTTCTCGCCTGTCAGCACCAGATTCTTCATTTTTCTTATATCAATTTACTGATTGTGATGTGAAGAGAACTATTCTGTCTATCAATTCCAATGGGGGGGGGGGGGGGAGTAGTGATTCCATAAGTTACAAGATGATCCTTCCACTCATAGAAACCCTTACTCCTGTTATTACTTTTATCCATAATACATCGATCTCCACTGGAGTTTTCCCCAAGTCCTGGAAAGACCCTAATGTTATTCTATTATATATATATTATATATCCGTTCTTTTTTTCTTCTCTAAAGTTCTTGAAAAACTTTCTTGCTGTTAACTTACAGCTTTTCTTAGCCAAAACCAACTTCTTAACCCTTTCCTATCTGACTTCCTCATGGGTCACATCACATCTACTGAACTGGTAAAGATTTCATATGACAGACATGGAATGCAAAGCCGCGAGCTGACGCTGCTGTCGTTACTGGACTTCAATGATGCCTTCAGCTCAGTTGACTTTGACATCCTCTTTGATATTCTGTGTTGTCATATCTTTAGCGGCAATTATGCCGCTACTTCACAAATATACAGAAAATTTACAAAGGTGTGACTTCATACGACATTACCATAATTTATTGATTACGCAAAAACAAAAAATACGTATTTAATATTCTTAAATAAACTACCTGACGGACAAACAAACAAAAATTATATGTACGGTTTGAAAAATTCATTTGGTGAGATACTTGCATGAACGTTATATAAAATGTTATTAACGGGCCGTTATATCGTAAAATTTTTATGAGCTGTAAAACATCCAGCTGTAAGAGGCTTGCAGTCCGCTCGTCGCCATGTGGCTTATTATAGTCATCAGTAAGTGTAATTTGAAATTAATTTATAATTATTTCTTTGAGCTCACTACTAGATTTAGTAGTTTGACAAGTCTTATCTTCTTGCTAGCTCCAGACGCATGCTAAAACCTTTTACAATGAGAAAAAACTTCCTTAGAAGCTCCCAACCTTAACAAAAGAATCACAATTTTCTTAATGAAAATGCTCAAAAGATCCACTTTGCGTACTTTCATCAATGTTCAGGCAATCCACCCTAACTGCCGTAAGAAATATTTTTACAAATATCCAAACTTTCGCTTGAAATGAAAATTTGTTCTAATTTATATTTTATAATTTAAATATTTTTCAGTATATCATCGTGAATGCAAAATTGATCAAATAAAATAAATGAATCCTAAATTAAATATCAAAGTATCGTTAAATTTCACTAAACCATCTCGCTAAAATGTCATCGATCGCGTGTCAATATTCGAAGTAATGAACCACAGTTTATTTCAAAAGGTACAGTGGTAAGCTGCGAATGCGCCCGATATATAGAGGTCGGAGATAAAGATTTGGTCGGGGAAGATAGGCAGTTGGCGAAGCTGTTGAACCAGAGGACGAATCACAACGGGATGAGGCTGGCGCCCATGTCCTTACCCAAGCAGTATTATGCTAACGAACGAATGAATAAGATATTGAAGAATGCAACGAGACTTGGTAATAAAATATAGTATTATTTTTCAAAACATAAACTCAAGATATTTAAAATAATATTACATAGAAAGATAAATAAAAAACTTATTTTTATCTCTCTTCGTTTTATCAATCTTTACACAAGTTTTATATGTGGACAATGACGACTTGGGTGCTCGTATATATACAAGACCAATTATATTTTTTCTTGATTTACTACCTCAAAATATAAATTTTTGTTGTCTCTTTACGTGTAAATGGCACTAACGTGATATTGGCAGAATTGTGTAGACGGAAAGAGGCCATACATTAAAAGAAGAACAACTGAAGCATGCAAAATCATAGACAAACGTTGCCTATAAAATTATTATCTGTAAACTACAAATAGTGCATTAATCTGTAAGTAGACCTAATAAAAATAAAAATTAGCAAGTGCTGAGTAAGGCGTTAGCTAACGTTACAGGTTTGGTAAAACCACAACTCTGCTTAAGCTATTCTCAGTATTAAGTGATTTCTTGTTAAGCTGTGCTCTGTTCTAGGTTAGTGAAAATGGGCGTAAGAAAGTTTTAAAATTTTGGCAAAAAATCAAAAGTAATTTAATCTGGTTTGGACCACTGAAGTCTTCAATAGTGAGATTCCTTAGGTGACAGACCTTTATGAGAAATTTTAATTATGCCCGAAGCTGTGTTTTATAATCATTCCACTAACTTCAAGAACACAACAACTAAATATTCTTAATATAACTTCGATGCAGATGGCAGACGACGTGGGTACGATTATAATAAAGAGCAGCCATATGAAAAAGGGTATGATCTAAACTTGACGACAAGAGCCATGGATATGCTGAGACAAACTGTTTACCTCACCCAGTACCGAATGATGCACCTGCAATACGTGACAGATACATACTCAACTGATATCAGGTCACTATTATTGACATTGTGATAAATTACATACGTCACTTTAAAGTAATCCTCGTACACAAATACTCAATTAAAACTAAAAAGTAGTAGCAGTACTTACCTATATATCCGCGTATATCCTGAGCAATATTGTACAATTTTATATTACTACACAACATACTAAATTCAGTATTTATTGTATTCAATAAAATGTTATTTACATACAAATGCAATATTGTAGTCTGAAATACTGCCGGTGCATCAGTGGAAGTAGGTATCGGTAGCGTTACACTTTTGTAGGACTTTCATATCAAATAAAATTAATTAGTGCCAATGAATATCCAATTCGAAGTTACTCCGGCAAAGATCGTAATAAGATGTGATGTGATGTGATGTGATGAATTGATAGATTCCAAGTTGTCTGTTCCTCACTGAAAATTCTGTAAGTTAAAACAATTTATGAGCTGAGTTATCTGAGGTTTGCCAATGACAGTGTGACGCTGCTTGTCATTGCAGTGCAAAAACTAAAAATATAGAATCGATTTGTAATCGATAATCATTATAATGATTCTACTTACTTAATGATGTTTTATTTATTTATTAATAGCTAAGTATAACGGGTACAATACATTTAATGGCTTTTTTTTCACGAGTTTTCTTTTATGATTGATCACGTAAATTTTTATATTATTTCATGTGATTCATTTTCTCTTATATCACTTCCAGATTGATAAATAAACTGACATTTGATATATGAATATAAAAAAATATGACCCTTTGATGGATCACAACTATCATCGCATATATATTGTTCAAAATACAAATAAAATTTTAGGCACCTGTATTAAAGCAACCCGAAACAACGAAAGTAGCATAACAATATAGACAGTAAATTTCCTACGTCCTAACCCGACCGGGACTCGAACCCGCGTCTTATAGATGGCCTCGCCTTGAAACCGGAGCGCGAGCCACTCGAACGCAGAGGTCGTCTATACAATAAAGTTTAATTAATTTTTACTTTGTATAGTTCTAATTATATTTGGTTTCGTTTCTTTGTAGCTTTCGTGTTGGGTACATATTCTCCAGACTGGATAAAATCATTCACGATATGCGGCTTCTGTACACGGTCATGAATAAAACTACTATAAATGACACAACTCATAATTATTATTATCCGGACTATCAAACTGGATTTTATACTTATCTACTTTACTACTCTTACTTCCTCAAGCACAACCACGACGTGACATATATAGTTGAGTATTTGATAGAACTGCACACAAATATTGTCAAGGAGACAAGAGAAAAAACGAAAAAAGGTACGCCCAAACCAGGATCAGAAGAACCATCATTTGAACCGGCAGGGTCAGACAGTGATGCAGGTGGGTAGACTTGTAGCATGTTCAGAGGGTCTTCCTTCAATCTATCTAATCTATATCTTTATCTTACTACCCGTAGGCGTCGAATCGCACAAAATAATAAATAAACAATATATTTTTATGTTAAAATATCTAAGTAAACTTAAACCATTACTTTATAACTTTATTTTTATTTTGAACCATTGTATCAAACAAAATGAACCACGATCGGAGAACACCACGTGGTTCGTATTTAAATAACGATTCTCATGACCTCTAAAATTTGCCACAACACACGTAACCGAGCTCCTATTCCCTACCCCCCCTCCCCCTCGCTGCACATATACATATATATATATATACATACATACATGATTATTCCTTGATCATAGTTTATGCCTTATAAATGTTTGATTTGTAGCGTCTGTCTGTAACTGCTTTTTACAACTGCATATTATGTATGTATACAGATACATATACCAAACATTCCCTCTACACACACCAACTTTAAGTATACTAATGAGTATTTTGTAATCTTTCATTATGACAATTGACATATTAAATAAATTTTGCATTTAAAATTGATGATTGATATTTTATTAATATAGGTAAACAAAAATACTAAATAGATAGTCTCATTTGCTAGAGTTGGGACTACCGGTTATTTGATAAATTATTCATTCACAATGATCGGAAACCGGTTACTCTATTTATAATCCATAAGATGAGTAATTTTATTAATGCATCAAATGCGTACTTATCTCAACAAGTACAGTCGATTGAAGACCTTGCAATTTATTTTGGATCTCATTAAACAGGAGAAGCAGATGGAAAAGAGGGCGCTGGAGGGGGACCTGCTGGAGGCGGAGCTGCTAGAGGTGATACTGCTGGAGGCGGGCCTATTGGAGGCGGACCTGCTGGAGACGGACCTGTCGGAGGCGAATCTGCTGGAGACGGACCTGTTGGGGGAAGACCTGCTGGAGACAAACCAGCTGGAGGCGGACCTGTTGCGGGCGAACCTGCTGGACCAGAACCAGGTGGAGCAGAGGAACCGGCTGCAGGGTCTCCAGATCAATAACCAGATGAGCCATCTCGCCATCGTTAACGAATTTATGTATACGAATTATTTAATTATTTTTAATTCTTTTGACGGTCCAGCACCGTATTTTTTATATTAATGACCTGGTTATTTAAATATTTGGTATATGGACTACGATTCCGGTGGTGTTAATTATTTTTTTTCTTATGAGAAGATTACTCAGAAACCATCTTAGAATTATAATCATTTAGATTCATCCCAGTTTTAAATTCGAGATTCGAATTCGTTACCGTTACGTTCTGTTAAGAGATGTGATTAGTTTCTTTATTTAAATTATTTTTTATTTTCTAAATTATTTTTTATTTTGTGGAGAGAAATAAATGCTTATTATTGTTATTATTTTATTATTATTTCCAAACATTTTATAATTGAAGACGAAGAAGTGTGAATGTGACTTTACCACACTCACACTCAATAACCCCACTCAAGCGTAATGAGTTGGTTCAATTCATTTTACCTTTGTTAAATAAAAGTCAATTAATCTACACCTTTTATCGTAGCATGACACTTATTTACGTCTGACAAGTAGCATATTGCTGTTATAAGTATTCGCTCGCTACTTGAGCTGCTCGATTTCGAACTCTAACGTCTTTTACGACGTCATTAGTATCGACGGTAAAATGATATTTATCTATTCAACTTTACTAAATTGCCAATCCCTGATTGTTGAACTTTTAATAGACTTTGAAAATTTGTTGGGTAAAGTAACAATACTAGATCAGGATTTGAACTGATACTAAACAGTTTTTCTTGTGTAGGCAGTATACAATCGAAGTAATTATCTCCTTTTGAATACTTCAGCTAGCACTTTTCAATTAAATAAATTAATTTACTTACATGTGTAAGTCGAAACGGTATGCAATCGGTTCGTAAATCTACGGCAGGAGGCTTTCTACCGAGAAGAACCGACAAGAAATGTTATGAAACGAGGGATAACCATCTAGAGAATTTAAAGAGGATAAGTCTATTTAAGTGAATGATTGACAAAAACGAAAAATGGTACAAAAATAATATAAAGGAGGCGTGTGAGGTGAGTAGTGAAGTGTAATAAGTATGTTAGTGGTGAAGGTAGTCCGGTAAAGTGTGCGTCGTTGAAGTGGCGACAGAAGTAGCACAACGTCAGTTCAAGGGGAAGGCAATATCCTCCAGCAGTTTTGAGATATGATGGCGATTTGAGGTGTAGACTCGAAGAGGAGTAGAGTCTCCCGGGGCATCGAGCAGGAAGTCCTTTTATAGCCCAAAACTATAGCCTCCAGGAAATAAGGTTTCAGGATTAGATTGCAGGTGATGTAGAACTGAAGGTTGTAACGGTAGAGTAAATTAGTTGTCGAGTTTATGGTTAAAGGCAGAAAGTCTTACGACTTTGAGACCATAACTTAAAGAGTTCCCGGGGCAGTCGACCCCGGAAAATAGACCTTTTATGAATTTAGGTAGCTCACGGCAAGTTTAAAAAGCTAGTTTATGCAATTGTTGCCGTAGAAGCGATTACCCTGGGCAAGGCTTTGTATATCCAAAGTCGGGCTCAAATTAGGAAGCGAACGATTTCAATTTAGATTCCTAAAACTTCCAAAGCTATAGAATACCTAAAAATGACAAAGTGTGGGACATTTTTCATAAAAAGTATTAGATGTAACCATGGCAATGTCAGTAATTTCAAAATAATTAAAATTCGGGATAAATTGTGTAAAATTAGCTAAATACATCATGTATTATCATATGAAATTGTAAAAAGTATTAATTAAAACTATGAAAGCTACAGGTAAGAGTTTACGTTAGTGTAAACAGGCAAATTTGATATTTAATAGGCAGAGTGAAGAATATAAATGGAATACAACCCTAAGCTAATCGATATAAACAACACTAGTGATGAGCATCCAAAGAATGATAAAGGGAAATAATGAGATGGTAGGTTAATTGCGATAGAAACTTGGCAATGGCATTACAAATTATTTTATAATATTATGTACTACGTCGACTGTATTTCATTTAATTTTATTGTACAAGCACACCTTTTACAAACATCTAGAACATCTCGTAATCGTATGTGTTAATCTATACTAATACCACAGATACACATAAACTATACACCTAATACTAATATTTATATTTAAAGAGGAAAGATTTTATTATTTGTTTTCATTGAAACTTCGAGATCGCTTTCAAAAATTCTTTCATCTGCAGGAAGGCTTTGTCTGTCTATGCGTCGGATATCTCAAATGTATAACTAAAGACAATGTCCGATTTTGCTCTCGCTAGGCCGGAAGGTGTCAGCACCAAATTCAAACAAATGGGTAACCTTTAGAACCAAAGTCATATTATAAGTAGGTATATTTAGTTTAAAAATGTGGTGTTGGACTGTCGATCGAATAAATACTTATTTAAGAAATAGCTCTGCAACAACTTCAAAAAATGTAATAAAGGATACTGCAAAAGTAAACAACAACTTATTATAACTTTCCTCTTAAAACAGGTTAACATTTACACCCCCGGGTCATACATAAATACTTGGTTGTTTAATTATGATGAGGGTATGACAGGCCGAGTTGTCGGAATACCGAGTTCGATCCCCGAATGATGCCCATCAAACTCTATTAACTTTAATGCTTTCACGTCGTTTCGATATCCATTGGGTAAGGCCATTTTATACTGCTGTAATATTTTGTATTTGTCTATACATTCTCTACATATCAGGGCTTGAAACCGGTTCAAAATAAACCATTTGAATTTAGGTAAAACCTGTTCTTTTGTAATGTTCCGTCGGAACTGAATCCAGATCGGAACTGAATGCGGAGTGAAATTAAATAAATTGTTCTTACGATATTTTTAGACCCGTTATGTTATAGATGTTATGGATATGAGTATACCATGGAAAAGATTGGAGAGCGCATCGGCTCATTCTTGGTACAAATGCGTCTCACCGATTTGTGGTGCGGGGGGAGATCAGTTTCGGCTGTGTTTATTGGCTACTCAAAAATCACTGGATACTCTAGGGTTGCCAAGTTGGTAAAAATATCGATATCGATAAAATAGGTTAATCAATTCCAATAAATTGAACAAATGATTTATATGGTGCGCAAAGAAGACAAACATACAAACGTCAAATTGTATTTTTTCGGATCAGGCTTAAAACGTAACAAATAGATTTCATATATACCTCCTAATCCGGTCCTGTCTGAACTTTCATAGAAACTTGTGAAGCACTCAGCCCCCCATAATTCGGACTTATTATAAAAATCTTTTTAACTGACATCGTCAAAATATTACTTACTACGTTGCCAAATTTCATGTTACTGACATTATAATAAATTTCCAGATTTCGTGATTAATGGTAGCTCATGTAAACATATAATAATAAAACAAAACTTTCTAACTTATGGTATTACATTTAAATTAAACCAATTATATAATAATTTTCAAATCTGCATTCGGACTTGTCAATATATTTTGTTACGATGTCGTTATACAGCACTATCGAGAAAATAAGAGACAACTACTTATGAGAAATCAATGCACCAGAAAGAGACGGCATGGTAGACATCAACGCGTGCATTTCAGAAATAATAAATTGTAATTATTTATTTGGTTGTATTTTTAATTTCAAAATAAACATAGAAAATCACTTATCTGCGAAATGATATCCACACTACATAATGCACTATCCACACCATTTATTAGGGCAACTAGGTTAGTAGTTTTTAATTTAAAAACGAGAGAGCGTAACATACCAACCCTTGTTTATTAAAACTTCGACTGGCGGAATAATTCGTTAGTGCACTTGCATTTGCGTACTATTTTCGAAGCGCTTGCCCCCGCATGCTCACTCCAGTCTACTCCATGGAGTATACGCACTTAAAAACCGCGTCGAAGTTTGTGAAATCATTACCTGGAGTCATATTTAAACCGGTTAATGAAGAGAACCGTATTTCTAATGAACCGTTTTGAAAACCTGTTTAAAGGAGCGTAACCTTTTATGTAAAGTTCCGAATGTACTTACGTCGAACCGGTTTCCAAACCCTGCTACATATCATTGATCTCAATATCAGGGCCGGTGGGCCCAGCCACAGCAGTGCAAGCTATCATCGACGTCATCGATGATGACCAATTATTTGTCGGATCACGGTCGCTGTTTGTTATTTTCTTTGTTACCCACTCTATCAATACGAAAAACTAATAAAAGTTAGGCTGTTGACACATTCACGGCAGAACGATATATTCTGTACCAGATAATTTATGGTACCTACCTGTCAGATGTAGATCAGAGCCTCTGGAGGCTATGATGATATGATGTGGCCAACAAAATAACAAATTAAAGGATCCACCCTTTAATTTGTTATTTTGTTGGCCACATCATTCTAAATTTTAATTCCACTTTTGACATAATAAATCACAAAAGATAAACACAATTCAAAATTATTTATTTCATTCTTTCTGATCGCAGACAACTTATCAAAACTATCAAAACTAAATCAATAATACAGAAGCTGTATTTAAATAAAAACTATATCTTGACATAATTCAAACATGTTGATACCGATAAATTTGTATGTCAAACTACACTTTGCAAATCAATTCGAATTTAATTTGCTATATTAAAAATTAAAAGACTCATATATTTTAAAATATTTCGATATAATGTATATTGTTTAGGGAATAAATGAAACTCAATATTTCATCCATACTTGGAGGGCCAATATTACAGTTATTTCCGTGTCGTAAATAAGGGTGACTACAACGTCAGTTCTATGCGGACTATCTCACCGGAAACTGTTAATGCCCATTCCGCTAAACTGAGGGTATACCATATCATAAGGGGTTTGCTTGGTATTCCAGCAGAGTGACCGGCGTGCCGCTCACGAGGTGACGGGAGCGGTACAATGATGCAGTCCATCCACAACAAGCAAACTACTTTTGAAATAATACTTTTATTTTCTTTACTTCTTTTATTAACTTCTCTTTCTTCCAGAAGTTTTGTATTAAGA